CATGTTACTTCTTGTAGCATCTCACGCTTAGAACTAGAAGCATAGCTCTCATTGCGTACCCCACATCCAGGATAAGCGTTGCTATAAAGAACCGACGAGCTTTAACTCATCAAAGATCGCTATAACTTAGGTATTGAACATCCACCCAATCTGGTTGCTAGAATTATGCAGAAACAGTTTTGTGCTCAATCAATGCCAAAGGGTTTAACCCCGGGCTCCTATCTTCTAGTAAGTTCAGAACCCATGAATACTCACTGTGACTGTTGACAACACCAGCTCTAGCATGCTCTTACGATGTTCACTCCAAAGCTGAGAAATCTGTCAAATAGCCAATGGTTACTCCACTTAACAGGACCTCATTCCAGAATCAGCAAGTGATCACCGTCTAAGATTCAGAGCAGTGAAGGATACTGGTAAAGAGGAAGGAATCTGTGCTATATTTCATCCGCTCCAAATTGACGAATTGGGCAAAAAGGTCAAACCCGTGCTTTGGAAGCAAAAGGGCACCTTGATGGGAGGCGGCCACTTGTTTTCGTTCATTTCCAATGTAAGCTCCAAACAGTTTCCGTGTAAGTAGTTCCAATCCTGCATGCCCCCATAGAGTGGGTACCTACAGAAATAAATGTTCCACTCATTTATATTTGGTATATTTGATTCCCATGTTTCGAGTCAAAAAATTCAGTAATCCAGTCAAACATCAACGCGATGAATGATGATTGCTGAGCACATAGAGGTTAGAACAGAGGAAATCACAACCCAAAATGTAGTACGATTATCATTCAAGGGGAACTGTCTTTAGTTCGTGTCGTACTGTCACATGAATCTCCTTACTGACAGCTATTAACAATGATTGACAAAGACTCGGGAATTTGAACTACCATTTAGCACCATTTGTAACACCACCAACAAACTCTTTGCTCTTGGACATCGAAGGATGGTTGTTAGCGTATAAACCAGCTAGATATCTAAAAGTACTATTATCTGGTGAAACAGAGCAGTTTTGACTGCACATCCCACGAACCAATGAGGATGGTGAGTCACAAAATGTTCAGAAAACTTCGGCAACAATATAATGACAATAGCAACTATGTAATAAAAAGTAGGATTAAACAAAAGAGATAAAATGGTACAAATGCTGTTAACTTTGGAACCGGTATGATGTGTACTTTACGGCAAGGTTGCCGTCGTAGGGGTAATTAGCAACAAGGGCTCCCTGTAAGCATTACGATCGTGATAAGATATCAGATTTGACTAAATAACAATGATATCCGACACCATAACACTTAGATGAGACACTGAATTTAAGCGCATTGGAAAAGTATCAAACAAGCATTACCAACCCCAAAACAGAGGAAACTTAAAAAGTCTAAATAACAACAGGTTTGAGAAATACCTCATGGAAGCTCGCTGACGCTGTGAAGCGAACAGCACGAATCCAATTCATTATAGCGCGAGTTTCCGGCTGTCGCTTCCCCTCATTGTTATTTGCAGGAAAATACTGTTGAATTACATGAATGAGCATCCACCAGGTAACACACATTCGAAGTTTTAAAAAACGCCTTCAGGAACAGAGCCGACATCTTATTTCAAATATTATGGAAGTGATGAGGTGATATTGCAGGTTGCAAGCAGAATCAGAATCCATCTCTTAATAATGCCTCACTTCATTGCGCTAGGGCATGCTCGAAGTCAAGAAAATATAGTGCAAAAAAACATGCACTTGAATAAGATAATAAGTAGGATAACATACTTGATCGGGAAAGTCACGGTTGAGATCGACATTTTGCGCATTATTTCTCATGGGATTTGGCTTTGCAGCAAAACCATCTGGATTCATGGATGGGAGTAGATGCAGATGTAACTTATCTACAATTAAAGTTGCCTGTATAGTTCCCGTCATAACTAGAATTAAGACAACTCATCAATGAGCATTATACTGACCATCAATCAAAACGAAGCTGGAACAACACCAATCATTATCACCTTGCTACATAACAGACATTGAAACATGTTTGAGGGACCCACATCTCATCGAGAAAGCAAAGCGGAAACAAAGGTAAAATATGAGATTCCGTTCAGTTGATCTCTCAATTACTACGTGGTGCTAGTCATTAATCTAGTTTGTGTCGAAGTAATTGATAAAAACTCTATGCACGAGGATAAATTCAGCTATGTTTCGCGGCGCACAATTCAGAAGAGGTGAACGCAAATAGATTCGCTCTTGGACTTGGAGCACATAGGCTCTGATATCTACATAGGGAACGATGCATCGTACCGAACTATCTTTCAGATAATTTTCGCACAACCATTCTGCAAGCAGAAGTACCAACTCGCGACCAAGTGGCTCGTCTCCATGCATATTCCCAACAAACTGCAGCATCAAATGCTTGTGTTTTTTCATATGAAAGATAGGATAATTGATACTTGAGCTAATGCTTGTTTTTTTTTCAAATGAAAAATAAGATAATTGATACTCAAATAATACCTTAAAGGCAGGTTCAGGTTCAGAAACCCCAGGCTTATCTGAAATTTCCAACGCCCACTACATCCAGAAATAACGAGCATTGATCAGACAGAACGCTTATTCAGCAGTGACGAATGGAATATGTACTAGTTGACAATCACTTCAAGCAGCTTAATGCTTTAGGGGCCTTAGCAAATATTTTTTCAGTACATACAAATAACCAAAAGGAAAATAACAACTAAATAAAGAACGATTAGGATCTGATGAAGTTATAGGTTAGTCTAAGACAAGTTTTTTAAGATAAGAAAGATGACTTATTTCCAGAAGAAATGGTCAATTCAGTGTCCTCACCAAAGGTACACCAAGCGTGCTATTCCCAATGCTGCGTCCACCAAAATTAACACAATACAAAATGAGTTTTTTGAAAAGTATTTAGACACAAGAAATGTCACAAAACATCACACAGCTACAGCTAGATTCTCTCATAATTTCAAAGATGAGCGAACTTATTTTTTGTTTAGGTTAGGCAGATCAATACGAGTAAAGTTTAGATATGTGACTGCAACGTTGAGTGAAGTTTCGAAGGGCTTCTTCCAATTCCAAGTTATTTCTGTAATGTGGTCCCGCGGGAGCATTCCTCGGAGTAGCAGCGTCGTCCATTGTATCTGCAAAATAGCGAACCGAAATCCAAGAAGTAAATCGAATGCTTAAAGAGCTACTTCCAAGTCTTTTTGTATCTGTAAATGCAAGAACACCAACTGAAGCTGAACACAACGCAGTTAGATTGTCTAGAATCACATCCACAATATCATTCATTATTGAAGGCACTACGTTTAATCACACGATACCACCCAGTCCCCAACTAGTTTGCTAAGAGCTATATACAGTACTGCAACGTCGCTCAATGATGGAAACGGCCCTGCTTGCAAAAAGTGCCATTATAATCCAAACACCATTTGTGTTCGAGAACACAGGGTTGAGCGCAATTCTATGCAAAAACGAGCTTCTTCAACCGGACCACACACGTAGCACGATGATGTAGGGCTGTCGACATTCCTTGAATTCATCACTTCAGAGGCAATCGTAACACTAAAAATCAGCATTTCAAAGGTCGCTGGATGCCACTCTTGAAAGATACTAATTGAAGCATATATGACATTAAGTCGCATGATTCTTCACATTATGCTTGTTGCCCTTCCCATCACCTTCATCGCCTCCAGAAGGTTCAACTGTCGTATCTAGAACCATGTGAATGGCGTTTCACAAAAATACCCCACTGCAAAATTTTACAGTGGAGGAAAGACACCATGCCGGATCCTCTACTCAATTCAGTACGCCCTCCGCCAATAACGAGGATGCACAATAAAGTGGCGTTCGGAAGGACCATAACGATACCAAAATTGAATATAATGTCTCCAAGCACCTTCCGCAGCATCTCCAAAGGAAATGTCCATATCGATCCCGGCCGCACGACATAAAACGTACTCACACTGTAGAATTAAAAAGCACACCATAACCAAGGAACATTACCTGGACTCAAAGACTCCGCCAACGTCGCATCGAGTCGACACAAGAGAGCTACCAAAGCCAAAATCATAAAACCAGTCCTGTGGTCACCAGACCATCCGCCTCCACCTCTGGTCACCAATGACGACCTTCCCATCTCCAACACCTCACCTCCCCTCAAAACATGACACAAAACCACACCGTCACAAACCCCGCACTCGCAACACGCACCAACTTCACAAACCCCTGAAGCCGCACTTACAATCCCTTAAAAAACCAAAAAAAACGTCTGACATCAAGAGAGAATTGTCCACCGACCCCTAATCTCTCATTCCAGCAAGTAGGATATAGCAAACGAGGCCTGAGTGTCAAGACAACGGATCAGTTGCGCAGCAGCCATGCAGAAGCACCGCATCAAGACAAGAATTGAAAGCGGGTACTGATTCTGAGCGACAGACGTCTTATAAAAGAATGCCGATGATTTAAAAAAGGTAGGAACAGAATATCTGGTTAAGAATAGATATCCAATTGCATGCATGTACAAAGTGAATGCGGCGAGTGATGGCATGCGAGGTTGCTGCACAGCAATTCTAGCACGGAACGAGGAGTAATCCACACTGTGCCCAAGCGGCGGCGAGTACGAGACGTGGGCCGAATTTCGATATGCATGATTT